CCCCCCACCCCCGCCCCCCTCCCTAGAGATCTAGCTACAGCTCAGGTTACAGATTCGGTTTTCAAGCTCCTTTATGCTTTAGTAATGGAGCTAAAGGTAAGAGACCGCAGACTTGAAACACGCACAATTAGGTCTTTTAGTTCTGGCTAAGCCTGCTCCCTGGAGCACCTTCTGCCTTTGAGCACTTTCCTGACGGTCTGTGTGAGGAGAAAGGCGCTCAGCCTGTGCTGTCCCCCTCACACACCTGCGCACCCTGCAGGGAGAATGATGCCTGACAACAAGCACAGATCCCCGTGGGGTCGCTGGGGCTTACCACACGCAGTGCAGGTAGGGGAAGTGGAAGGACGACAACAGCTCACAGAAGGCTCGGTCACTGATCCAGCAGAAGAGCGCAAGGGTCCACCAGAGGCCGGAGAAGAGTCCCAGCTTAAATACACGCACGTTATCGCACCTGCACAGGGATCCAGAAAGCAGGTCGCCATCAGGCTTGGTTGCCACCCTGCTCGCTGGCCACTTTCCTCTGGCTCCTCACATCCCCCTAGGCCCTTGGCACTGGAGGTCCAGCCCAACATACTGTCACCCCACAAGCTTGTGGATATAGACACCATGCATACACAGATGGCCCCCAATGTGTCTCATCCAGGCCTCTCCCTGACTCACTCACATACCTGACCGCCTTGACGTGTCTACCCACGTGTGCTATGGACCTAAACTGAACATGTCCATAATGCACTCCTGATCTCCCCCTGCCCCCTCCAAAGAATCTTCCATGCTTTCGGAAGCTCAGGCCAAGAGTCTTGGAGTCCTTGTTCTCTTTCCACACACCCCACAGCAGCTCTGCCTTCAATATATACCCAAAAGCTGGCCTCTCCTACCACCCCCGCCTGAGTCCAGGCCACCGTCCTCTCCTGCCTGAGTTATGGCAACTGTGTCCTCCCACCCTCATTCCCATGGTCCATTCTCCACGCTCCGTTCAAAGCCTCCCGTGTCTTCCCTTCCGACCAGAGGGAGAGCCCACAAGGTCCCACACGTCCCGGCTTCTCCTCTGCCCTCCACCTGCTCTCCTACATACTCTGCCCCTCGCTGCCTCTGCTTATCCACCACGCCATCCGGGGATCCTTGTGCTCGTCAGATATCCCGGGCGTGTTCCCCAGACCTCAGCATCGGCTGCTGCTGCCACCTGGAATGTTCTTTCACACAAAACCACATGGCTCACTGTCTCCCAAGTCTCTGCTCAAATGTCACTCAGTAAACCCTTTCCTGATCACTGTCTTTAACCATTGGACCACCTGTCTCCACCCCCTAAGTGATTCCTCCCAATTCCCCATTACCCCCTCCTCTCCTGTCATGTCCTCTGTAGGGATTATAAGCCTTCTAGCATCCTTCATGTCGTAGCTATTTGTTGATAGCTGGTCTTCCCCTGGTACAACACTGGGCACACAGAGGGCTCCCACTCTTTGCTGAATGAAGGAAAGAACTCTGACCTACGCTAGGACAAAATGCTTTTCGGAAACAAATACTAACAGCCCAAAGAAATTTCAACTGCTATTTTCCTTTTGTTGTTCCCGAATCACTCATAACGGGGTGACTTCTGTTCCTAGGGAGGAATGTCCAGAGGCAGCTGGTGGCTGAGGGTCCTTCTAAACCCTCCCTCAGAGTCTCCTTCCCCCTCCCTCCCCCACGGGCCACTCCTCAGTCAATCAAGCTCTCTTTCCCGGTCCCAGGGTCCAATGTGACATCTGTACCCGAGAAGGGGGTCATGTTTATTTGTTCATATTTGTTGAACAAGTAAGGTGTCCGAAGCCTCACTTGCTGGTACCTTTCCCAGCTGCCTGGCAGAGGCATCAGTAAAAGCCTCGGTGAAAACAGGATGGGCAGTACGTTCAGAAAGTCCTACTCAGAAAAAAATAAACTGAAATACCCTTTTGTAGAGCTAAATGCATTCCTTGAAAATTTTTCAAAACATGTTTTGGGACAACAGAGGCCCCTGATCGGAGCGACTCAATTC